TTTTGACAAGTTTTTTCTTGTCCTTTTTTTTGACAAGTTTTTTTTGTTTTTTTTTGTTAATTCTTTTATTTTTGTTATTTTGTCATTTATTATTTATCTATCAGATATTGCATAAATAAAATGCACTAAGATAAGTAAAAATAATATAATTACCCAATTGCTAATAAAGATATGATTTTAATACTCATCAGAAAATTCAACTTATTCTGTCAATTGACAGAATATTATTTATACACTTGTATTAAGCCGAAGTCTAATTTTATTTAACTCATGATATATTCAATTGCCGTCAAAGCAAAACCTGTCATCAAGCTTTTAATTATTTTTTGTATACAGTTAGCTTTAGAGTTTGGAATCAAAATTCATTTTTCTTATGTTGAAACCGGTTTGAACTGATTTTAATATAAGAAAAATGAATTTCGATTCCAATCTCTAGTTAGCTTCATAGATGACTAACTGCACACAAAATATAATTGACAGGCTTCTTTGATGGCACTCATTTATAAAAGCTTATTTATGCAATACAAATTTTGACTTTTGTATAAATAATTCTCCTTCATACAAATAATTCAAATAAGGTTAAAATATGTATTTCAAGTTAAGTATTGCACTGCATCTTTTTGCATAAATAATTTAATTTTCGCAGAATACTAATTCTAACTTTATTTATATTATATTCGAGTCAGATCAAATATCACGTTGCACTTTTTTTTTCATAAAAAATTCAACTCTTCACTGGATAATTCGAACTTTTCTTGTATTTATAATCCGAGTCAGATCAAGTATCGCACTGCATTTTTTTTTTTTTACATAAATAATTCAATTCTTCTCTGAATACTAAATCTGACTTACTTGCAAACATAATCCGAGTCAGGTCAAGTATAGTTTTGCAATTTTTTTTTCTTTTACATAAATAATTCAACTCTTCTCTGATGCTAATTCTATCTTTTTTTTTAGGCTAAGTATCGCGTTGCACTCTTTTTTTCATAAAAAATTCAACTCTTCATTGGATAATTCGAACTTTTCTTGTATTCATAATTCGAGTCAGGTTAAGTATTGACCTGCATTTTTTTTTTTATCACAACTTTTTTTTTCTTTTACATAAATAATTCAACTCTTCTCTCATACCCAAGTTAGGCTAAGTATCGTGTTGCTCCTTTTTTTTTATAAAAAATTTAACTTTTTGCTGGATAATTCGAACTTTTCTTGCATTCATAATTCGAGCCTGGTCAAGTATCGCCCTGCATTTTTCTTTTACATAAATAATTCAATTCTTCTCTGGGTACTAATTCTGACTAACTTGTATTCATAATCCAAGTCAGGTCAAGTATCATTTCAACTTTTTTTTTTTTTTTTTACATAAATAATTTAACTCTTCTCTGATACTAATTCTAACTTTTTTTTTTACATCATATCTGAGTTAGGCTAAATATCACATTGCTCCTTTTTTTTCATAAAAATTCAACTTTTTGCTGGATAATTCGAACTTTTCTTGCATTCATAATTCGAGTCAGGTCAAGTATTGCCCTGCATTTTTCTTTTACATAAATAATTTAATTCTTTTCTGGATACTAATTCTGACTTACTCGTATTCATAATCTAAGGCAGGTCAAGTATCGTTTCGCACCTTTTTTTTTTTTTACATAAATAATTCAACTCTTCTCTGCTATAAATTCTAACTCTTTTTTTTTTACATTATATCCGAGTTAGGCTAAGTATCGTGTTGCTCCTTTTTTTACTTAAAAAATTAACTTTTCACCAGATAATTTGAACTTTTCTTGCATTCATAATTTGAGTAAGATCATGTATTGCCCTGCATTTTTCTTTTACATAAATAATTCAATTCTTTGCTGAATACTAATTCTGACTAACTTGCAAACATAATTCGAGTCAGGTCAAGTATCATCTTGCAGCTTTTTTTTTCTTTTACATAAATAATTCAACTCTTCTCTCATATCCGAGTTAGGCTAAGTATCGTGTTGCTCCTTTTTTTTCATAAAAAATTCAACTCTTCGCTGAATAATTCAAACTTTTCTTGTATTTATAATCTGATTCAGATCAAGGTTTGCCCTGCATTTTCCTTTTACATAAATAATTCAATCCTTCTCTGAATACTAATTCTGACTTACTTGTATTCATAATCTAAGTCAGGTTAAGTATTATTTTGTAGCTTTTTTTTTCTTTTACATAAATAATTCAACTCTTCTTTGATATTAATTCTATCTTTTTTTTTACATCATATCCGAGTTAGGCTAAGTATAAAAAATTCAACTCCTCACTGGATAATTTGAACTTTGCTTGCATGCATAATCCGAGTCAGGTCAAGTATTCCATTGCACTTTTTTTTTTTATATAAATAATTCAACTCCTTGCTAAATACTAATTCTACTTCTTATACGAGTCAAGTATCGTATCGCACCTTTTTTTACATAAATAATTCAACTCTTCATTGGATACCAGTTCTAACTAACATTCATAATCCAAGTCAGTTCAATATCACATTGCCATCTTTTGTTTTTTTTTGAATGAATAATTCTGAACACTTTTTTTTGTATTTATAATCTGTGCTTGTATTGTCAGTGTATTGTATCATCGGTAAAATAAACTTGTCGGTGTATTGTATCGTCAGTAAAATAAGCTTGTTGGTGTATTGTATCATCAGTAGAATAAGCTTGTCAGTGAAGTGTGGGTTGGTAAAATAAGCTTGTTGGATAAAACAAGCTTGTAGGTAAATCGAGTTTTGGCGAATTAGCTGTTGGTAAAAAACATTTGTCAGTAAACTAATTGTCGGTGTAGTGGGATATCTGTAAAGTGATTGTTGGCAAAATAATATGAACCCCATCAAAACCTAATCGACAATTGTAACCAAAGTGTATGAAGTTGTCCTGAATCCTTTTTTTTTTAAAAAAAAATAGAAAAAAAATAATTCATTAAATGAGTTTAAAAAAATATTAAACATTTACTTTTATATAGTCACGCTATATGTATTTTACATATTTATATGACTATATAGGGTAAACACTATACAATCCCACTCCTTTATAATCACCAAATTTGCCAAAACAAACAGCATAATTATAGAGGAGGAAGACTGTATATTCTTTTATAGATTAGTAAAATATTTTGTTAAATGCAAGTTTTAAAGATTAGCAATATAAGTATATAAATTTAGAAAAAAGTAGTTTTAAAAATTTATATTTATGCAAAGATAATTATCCTTTTATAAAGTTTTCAACCTAATTTTTATAAGTTTCTTCTTTATTAATTGAGCAATAATACAGGTTTTGGCTATTAATTTCAGATATCCTTATCAAGAATATACTTACCCAAATAATAAAAATTAATTAGCAAGTATTTAAACACAAGTGAATTTTTAATAGAAGTGTCCAAAATTGATAGCTAAAACCTGTAATTAGTATCTTTAAAAGGTTAGTAAAAGCACAGGTGTGCATAAATTATTTTAAAAACTTATAAATAATTAAACTAAATAACAAATAAAATCTACTAATGCCAAATTGCTATATTTATATATTAATACAGCTATATTAGTATTTTTTTTTTGTGAATTCAGCAATCTTGTCTCAACTTTATTAGGCTAAAATATTTAACTCATGGGTAAAATATCATTTTTGCTAAAGTAAACTAAAGCACCACCTAAATTACAAGTTTTAGCTAACCCGGTTGTTCTCAAGCAAATACCTATGTTCGATTTGCTATAGTAAATATTTATCTCCATATAAAAAAACCTGCAAATAAATTCTTTGATATATTACTGAATAATATTTACAGCCTATCAAGACTGCCATCTTTTCTAAACCTTCTTCCCTAGCTTCGTGAGCAGAAGGATTCATAGTCTCTAACTGATTTATAAAAAAAAAATACTAATACTATAAATAAAGGGAATGACACAAAAGGGGGAAAGAAAAAAAACTGCCAAAGAAACAAGAAAACGAACAAAAAGAAAAAAAAAGAAACAAGAAGAAAAAGGCAGAAAAAAAACAATCTATGAAAACACTATTATAGCCTGTGCCAGGCACAGTTGTAAAAATTATATACTAAATTTAAAAATCTTGTATAGGCTATATTAGTATTATAAGCTATTATAATATTATATATTAAAACTTTTAGTCTATAAAAAATCTTTAAAAAAGAGCTGAATTATATTAAAAAAGCTAATTTATTTTTTTTCTTATAAAATTTTCATCTTTCACTATGTCTAATCAACAAAAACAACATCATACGGCTATTAGTAATGATCTTAAACATCAAATTTGTGAATACTCAGAAGCTAATAAAAATAAAAAACAGCATGAAATTGCTAGTTATTTTAATAAAAAGTATCTAAATTTAACAATTGACCAGACTACTGTATCAAAAATTTTTTAAAAAAAGTGATAAGTGGATAGCTATAACTATTTCAGAAGTTTTAAGTCAAACATTTAGGTAAATAGTATTTGATAATTTTTATTACTTATCTAATATACTTAAATATTATTAAATTTTAAAAACATGGAGAAGTTAAGTTTCCATTTTTTGATCGAGCAATGAATCTATGGGTAGAAAATATGATAGTATGAGGTATTATTTTAACAGATTTGCTTATTAAAGAAAAGGCAAAAATGTTTGCTTCAGTATTTAATATACCAAAAAATGCATTAGTTTTTTCTAATGGTTGGTTAGAAAAGTTTAAAAAGTGCAATAATATTAAAAAATATCATATACATGGGGAGTCAGGAAGTGCACCTTTGAAAACACTTCCAGAAGAAAGACTTAAACTATGCAGACTTTTAAGCCAATATTCACTTGATCAAATTTATAATATTGATAAGACAGGTATTTTTTATCGAATGCGACCAAACCAAATACTTTCTTCAAACCTATACTTGGTCAAAAAAAGAAAAAACTAGAGTAACAGTTCTTCTTGGTGTTAATGCAACAGGACTGATAAATTAGTACCATGGGTAATTGGTAAATCATCACGTCCAAGATCTTTTGGACAAATGAATTTAAACATACTTCCAGTTTATTATCATTCAAACCCTAAATCATGGATGAATTCATTGTTATTTGAAGAGTTTCTTCAACATATAGACAATAAATTTAGAACTCAGAATAAAAAAATTTTACTTTTAAATAATAATACACCATTACATTTTAATCCGAATAGTGTTGAACAAGATAATAATTCTGATGATGATGATGAATTTAATGAATATAATAACTTTGGTAAAGAAGGTTCTACTACAGCTCGATTATGTGGCAATTTTCGCAAAAATTATAATAAAATGTCAAAATTAACACATGGTATGTATTATTTAATTGCAATTCTTATAAACTTTTTACTATATTTAATTTCTTTATAGTACATAATAAAAATTAACTATAGTATCTTATTAAAGATATACTAAATTTAGTAATTAATTTAATATCAATAGGTGCAAAGCATAAAAATAAAAAGCCTAACTCTACTTCTTGACTTAAACTTAGTCATATTGAAGTTGCATTTTTACCTCCTAACACTACAAGCCACTTGCAACTACTAGATGCAGGTGTTATTGCAAGTTTTAAGGCTTATTATAAACAAAATTATTGCCATTTTATCTTAGAACTCTTTGAAGATGGCATGGACATAAACAAAAACAAACTAACTATTAAAAAAGCAATCGATTATATAGTAGATGTATGGAATAATGTAACTGAAGAAACTATAGCTAATTGCTAGAAAAAGACCGGTATATTACCTGTAGTTACTAAAGATGATATAACTGATGCAACTCAAATCTAACAAGATATTTTATTTTATGAAGAAGAAGATACTAATCAAATGATTGCTAATAATTTATATAGTGATTCTTATGCTAATTTGTTAGCAAATGCACTAAATGACTTTTTTTATAGTCTAAATGAGGATATTCCAACTAAAGATATTTTAAATGAGAATAATATCATAAATTTAATTCAAGCTGAAATGTGTAATGAAAATGATAGTCCAAATCATTCTGATGATTCTGAAGAGGAACCCGAATTTGTATTATTAAGTGATGCAAGCAAATCATTGCATATGTGGGTAACCTTTTTTGAGCAACAACAATCTGATAAATTCAAAAAAGAGGATATAAACATTTTTAAAAACTATCTTAAAATAGTTAAAAGGCTTGAATTTTAAGCCAAAAAGCAAGTTGCAATAACTGACTTCTTCGCTTATAGAGATTAAATATAGACTTACTTTATTTTTTATTATTTTTTATCATTGATCTTTTTTTTTTAGCATTTATATAAAGATATATTAGTTTTATTTTATTTAGTAAATTTTTTTAATATTGCTTAGATAGCTTATATATATATACGTGATTACAAATTGTAATAAATAACGAAGATTTAACTTACTATAACTTTCTAAATACATATTAGTATACTTTAATTTTTGTAATAACTTTATTGCAGTTTAATTATACATAGTAACTAGTAATGTTTTGTAAATACTATACTGTACAAAGTTTGTATTTCTTAAACTTTAAATTTTATAGTGTTTAACTTTATAACCTCATTTCAGTAACAAGCGTAATGATAAGAAAGAATATTTATTTATAGAAAACAATATGAATGTGATCATAAATAGTTGATCCACATAGATAAATATCAACTATTTGTTGAGGTTCAAGGATTAAAAACTCATTTTAATTAGTTAAAGAATTAAATAAACAAAGTTACATGTAGTAAATAATGGGTTTTTATATAAACTACCTACTACTTAACTCAAAAAATTTGAAGATAGGGCTTCTCGGTTCTTCACCAAGACTATCACCTAGGTTCTCCAAAGCCTAGTCCCAAACTTTTCTTGCAAAGTAAGTGTTTTTTTGAACTTTACCCAGTCTTAACTGGCTATCGCATTATTATACTTTTTGAGTATATTATATTTTTAGTCAATTCGTCCTAACCACCTGAAAGAGGTAGGCATTCTTAACTAGGATTTAGTAAATTTGAAATTCATATAGAACAGAATAGTAAAAGGAATAAAAAATGAAATAGAATTTTGGCTTTTTATATATTTAGTTCATACAAGCTGTTTAAAATTATGCAGAAAAAAATTTTCTCTTGGTACAATACAAGCAAAAACCTAATTAGCCGCCTGTTTTTTTTGGTTGCAGCTTTATAAAAATAACCAAAACATAGGTTTCATTGTAGCTTATTCTAACCGTAAAATCATATTCACTTCAAAAAATTCGCCAAGGTTAATTTCGGGGTTATCAAACAAAAAAATAGTTTCTCCATTACTTAAATTAATCGTTTTTTGTTTTTATTTAATTAGACTAATCTTTTTTCAATAGTTGATTTTATTTTTTGTGTTTGTGTTTTGTTTTTATCTATCATATATAAGGTATTATTTGATTGTTAAATCTATATATAATATTAAATAATTATATTATTAACCTATCAAATTATGAGCAATCATCACTATAGAGAAAGTGCATGTGAAATGTACTTATATAATTATCGCAATGTGCTTCATTAGAATGCGTATTAATTTGGGATGTTCGTGAGCACTAATTCGAGACCATTGAAACTATTTAACTCCAATGGTTGACGTTAGAAGGGTCACATAAATTGGGAGATAAATTATGTTATTCAGATATTCATGATTTATTAGGCATTTATTACAAAAAGAATGTAAATATAGGTAATCTTTATTTATAGAAAAATTTTGGGAGAGCGAATGTTATCCTCAACTAAGGCTGAAGACATACTCTTATATATATTCTAATTTTACTGATGGTCAACATCAGGATCTCAACGCTTACACTGTATATTCCATATTTGCCCAAGGCGCAATAATTACAAATTAATGCAATCTGAATACACTCTATTTTGAGCGTGAACGCTCTTGCATGAATTAAGCCACCAAGAATATGTAATAGTGTCTAATATTACTAAGATAAGATTAATGGCTATAATAGTACAATTATGAAAGGTAAGTGACAACTTAAAGAATTAGACAGATATGGAAGTGATGAGACACAGAGAAAATTAATTGCTACACTATATAAATTATTTTTGAAGTATGTACATACGTACATACGTACTCGATTTTCAAAATAACGCCCACGAATATTATTTCGCCCTTATATGGTAATTATATTTAATTAACTGCTTAATTTGGAACATGTTTAAATTACATACCAATTGTAACCTATTTCAGAAACAAGCATAAAGATAAGAAATAAACATGCTACAGGCCACATGAAGCAACTGAATCTTTTTAACCCACACTAATATATGTTGCACATTCATTTACATTAAAATCATTCAATGAAGTCCGATATCTAACACTATTTATGGATGTATTTGAACAGTAATATTTTATATGCTTTTCAAAAAAAAATATTACAAGAAATTAGAGTTTTGATGTTTGTGTTTTTCGGTAATAATAATGGATCTTAATCGAATATTATTCGATTGAATCTTTCTTTGGATTTAGATCCGCAGGAATCAATAAGCAATTGAACCTAGGTGCCGCACAAAAAATGCATGGCAGATCTTCAATTTTGATTGGCTAAAAAAATTAAGCCAGAATTACTCGTAATTTTACTAATGAAATCGCAGCTGCCCATTAAGTGAAAATTGTTTCTAGGTCAATTTTACTATAATGTGTATTTATTTTTTAAAAATTTTTATTTTTGTAATGAAAAAATCAGAAAGTTAATTTCAGCCGGAATTTGGTAAACAATTTTGTAATGCAGACCAAAATTTCGAATATCTTCGGCTGTTAGCCAATCAAAATTGAGGATCTGCCGCACATTTTTTGTGCGGCACCTAGGGTAAATCAAAAAGCAATTATAGATTATACGAGATTGTTAGAAATTGAACCAAACAATTTATTTGTATTAGAAGGTCTTGGAATATCTTATTCTAAGATGATTTGCGAATTGAATCCAAAATTTTTATAATCACAATTTATAATTTTTATTGTAATTGTGATTATATAGAGGTTTAAATTTTATAATCACACCTTTATATAATCACCATATTAGGGCGCAACCAACTTGGTGATTATATAGAGGTAGGACTGTATGTAGTTAAGGTTGAGTTTGTATCATGAATTACTGTAAAGTTATGTTAGTTTGCATTGAAAATTATTATGATTTCTACAGTAAGATATTGTAAAAATTACCCACTATTCTAACAATACACAGCAATGCACATAATGGACGAAAATTGATTTTTAAAAATTATAGATAACAATTGAGTTAAATAAAAATAACTGGTTGTTTCTTAATTTTCATATTTCAATTTTCACGCTTTCATATTTAATGCATCGATTATTAATTCATCAATTGTGAATTATGACAAACTTGCTATAACATTAGTTATGCATAATTATAGTTACCAATAATCATAATCTTTATTAAATTATTTATTTTAAATATAACAATTGACAAATGTTCATTATATTATCTGTTACTTTAAATAAAAAAATAAGAATAAAAGTGAAAATTTTATTAGAAAGAGTTATATATATACAAGAATGCTATATCTATACTAATTTAACAATACTAATTTGTCTATGTTGTATATACAGTCTGACTAGATAAAGCAATAGTATCTGACTTAACTATATAGTAATCTAAGATTAAAGTTTAAAGTGAACCTAGTAAAAGTTAATAAAATTGATAAAATTAAATATAGATGCAAATATAAGCTTATACCAAAACTGGCTTAATCTGTAACTCTCTGAAATCCACCTTTCGTTACTGGTTTTGCGTGACAACATCATGCAGCTACTTATATTATATAATAAATATAACTGTGTATAAATTTTTTATATATTTCGTATATAATAAATATAATTATGTATAAATTTTTTATATATTTCATATATAATAAATATAATTGAGTATAAATTTTTTATATATTTTGTATATAATAAATATAATTGTATATAAATTTTTTATATATATCATATATAATTGTGTATAAATTTTTTATCGGTAAAATTTTTTGTACATTAGTTTTGTGTAACCTGATGTACATCAATTTAAATTATTTTAAAAACTTTGAACAAAGACATCTTGACACCTAACTAATCAAATTCAGTATACTTTTTTTTGTTTCAATTCATTAAATATTTAAAATCAAATTTTAAAAAAAAGTACATCAAATTTCCTTAGGTAGTTGTCGAGATATTTTTATTTGAAGTTTAGTAAAAACTTAAAACACCAATAAAGCAATAAAAAAAAAACCAAACAAAGATATCTCAACACCTACCTAAGCAAATTTGATATACTTTTTTTTCAATTCTATATATCTCTGAAATTAAAACAAAAAAATGTACAACAAATTTGTTTAGGTAGATGTCGAGATATCTTCATTCAATTCTTGTAAAAACTCAAACTGTCTAGTAAATTTTTTTTAAAAAAAATTCTTTAATAAAGATATCTCGACACCTGCCTAAGCAAATTTGATATACTTTTTTTTATTTTAATTCAAACATTTATAGAATTGAAACAAAAAAAAGTATATCAAATTTGCTTAAGTAGTTGTCAAGATATCTTCATTCAAGGATTTTTTTAAACCAAAATTTACTAGGCAGTTTGAGTTTTTACAAGAATTTGAATGAAGATATCATAACGCCTATCTAAGCAAATTTGATATACATTTTTTTGTTTTAATTTCAGATATATATAGAATTGAAATAAAAAAAGTATGTCAAATTTGCTTAGGTAGATATTGAAATATCTTTGGTTGAAGTTTTTTTTTTAAAAAAAATCTGTTTTATAGGTGTTTTGAGTTTTACTGGACTTCAAATGAAGATATCTCGATACCTACCTAAGCAAATTTGATGTACATTTTTTTGTCATAATTTTAAACATTTATAGAATTGAAACAAAAAAAAGTACATCAAATTTGCTTAGATAATTGTCAAAATATCTTCATTCAAAGATTTTTTTAAACCAAAATTTACTAGACAATTTGAGTTTTTACAAGACTTCAAATGAAAATATCTCCATGCCTACCTAAGCAAATTTGATCTATATTTTTTTGTTTTAATTCCAAAAAAATATACAATTGAAATAAAAAAAAGTATATCAAATTCGCTTAGGTAGGTGTTAAGATATCTTCAAAGTTTTTTTTTCTGGCTTATAGACGTTTTGAGTTTTTACTAAACTT